GGTATTTGAGTTTAGACGCACAAAAGATCAACTGATCTTTTGTGACGAATCTTGAACGGCAACAATTAGTGTAAATCCGGAGTATACCGAACATGCAAGCTTCAAAGCAATAGCTTTTTGATGCCGTACTGACCAAGATCACGATGGAAGAAATTACACGCATGTGCGACACCCTTTTTTTAAGAGATACCAGGTGATGTTTTAAAAAAAAGGTTTGGCTACTACAACAGCTTGTCCCCGGTGAACTTAATTGAATGTATCACTATCCAAGTCATTAATTGTAGCTTGCTATGATATGCCGCAACTGTGCTAGAGAGAGAACTTTAGAGTAGCAAGATTGATTTTGTACAAATCTAGTACGATACAGCCAATACCAGTGTCTACTTACAAGTCACTTATCTCAAGTAGGTTCTACTTTGGTATATCAAGTCCAGGGTAATTATACGAGTACATTTAGCGTACCGCGGCCAGCGACAGCTAAAACCATACGCAGCTCTACAGTCACGAGTAACTTATAATAGACCTACGTGTGTAGCTGAATAAGCCTTCATGATTCTTAGGCTATGCAATTGACTTAGTAAATTATACATGGGAAGAGTAAGACAACACCCATTATTCAACGAGAGAACGTCCACTATATTAAATTTATTGATCCATGTTCATCAGACAATTCCATCGCCAATATTAAAATCTGCGACCTTCCATTGTGCTAAGGTGTCGATTCCGGAGTATTATCCGATGGCGACAAAGCAAGATCATGCTGAAAGCGTGGCGGTAGGGACTGTAATGGGACTGGTGAGCGTCGAAACATTTCATTTCACAGGTTGAAACGCATATTCAATGCATGACGGTGGATCCTAAACTCGAAAGGGATGACGCGAAAATTCCGTGCACCTTTCAGGTCGATTCAGATGAATCTGGCACGATTAAGCTTTAAGCATGCAATGGTGGCGACGACGTAGATAGAGATAACTGGGAAGAAGGATTACTCGGAAGTAAGTCGACTGAGATGGGCGCTTCGATGTCGTCGGCAGGCTCAATAAAGATACACAAGCGACGTTGGCATATAATTGTGGCCGGATGCGTTGCAGTAACTACATTTTTTTGACACCAGGCTGCCTTTCCACATGTTGAAAACATGGTGTTAGACGCTTGAGCGTTTTATGGGTGTGACCGATTGCGACCTTTTAATTAGCTAAAAAGAATGGGTGGCAAATTCAGAATATATCAGGATCGAGGTTGTCGTCGCTGTCCATTTCCGTTGCTTGGCAAATCACATAATTTACGTGCTGGCATTTTTCGATGAGATTGAGAACGATTTGTGCAGAGAGGTTTCAAAGGGCCAACGTGTTATATCCAGTGCATTCTTTGAGGTTTGAACGGTTGAGTGAAAAAAAAACTGATTCTTCAGTAGAACAAGGATGTGAAGTGAGATTTTTATGATGTAATCCGAAAATATTTCTGCGGTAGGGTTCGTGGGTATCGCAATCTATTCCCTTGTTTCGCCGACCCTTCTGTGATTATATTTCACGCCTCACGACTTTCCCTCTTGACATCCAGGAGGGTACCGCTTGCGCTATTAAGCCATCTCTTTACTTTTTTGTCATGTGCTCTTCAGCACACAAGGTCACATTATGTCCAAGTTTTTTTGCCGATAGATGCAGTACGAAGTGAAAATTTTCTCGCATTTAGGCACTCGATAGTTTTGCAATACTGACATATAATGTCATGTTTATTAAAATGGGAGCAGGATAATCAAAATACCACAATTGTAGAGAGCTGCTTTCAGATCTTTATAAAAATCGAATTCCGTTAACTCATAGACAACTTTCCATCTATTTGCCCATAAATAATGGCCAAGTGTCCTCGTTGAAATTAGTGAGATTTCTTCGATAGTGGGTCATCATGTTGTTTGCGATGTAAAATGGGCAAATGTACATCGCTACGCCCGTCCATTTTTTTGAGACAGACTTAACCATTCCAAGTTCGCAATTTACTACAAGAACGTTCGATTGTCGCTGTAGGATCCTGTCAGTATCTTATATCATCCAGACATAGTCATCAAACGCTTCACAATCCATAAATTTTCAGCTAAATGCAACTTCAGCTGAAAAGTTTGGTTAATACATGCAAAGACTACGTCGTGCAGTAGAGGGAGGTTGTGGGCGTATGTCTTGTACAAAAATCAATCATGAGCCCGTCTTGATAATGTAAGGCAAAGTCCTTGACTTGTCGGATTTCTAGAAACGATGCCGGACATAGTTAGCTCGGCTCACCGCAACTTCAGTCGTAACCTGTTTATCCTTCATGCGAATCTCTAAAGCCTCCTTATCCGTTGTACCACACAAATCTTCTACGTTTGCATTCTGGAAGATGTTGTGGACAGCATTTGCTTTTTGAAATGACATTGTTCTTTTTCAAGTGGTTCAGTTTTTACCTATGAGAAATTACAAATCGATTAAAGCACGATGAACACACGTTAAATTGCATTTTTCACATGATCGCATGGTCACAAATACCCGCGGACGAGCTCCAGTCAGATGCACCTACAAGACTTTATCCTCCGTATTTGCTATTCCGGTGATACGGTCCTTGCAGCTGGTAATGTTTACATCATTGTCTTGGTCATACATCGAAAGTGGTCAGAGTGACAGTTTTTTATCAAACAAAGCATCAACAACGCTCTACATTTCGGCACCTTCGTATCAAAGGTGATAGAAATTTTATACGAACACCTAATCTTTTTGGTTTCATGGTATCGCAAAGACATCAGCCGTTCATAAATTCAAGAAACTTTTCTCTTGCTAGCTAAAAGAGATGCAAACGCGCTTAATGCATCGCGATCTTATGTGGTCAATGCTGACAGCATTACCTTGGCTCAAGGGGTACTACTTGACGTTCTGGACAGCTTGCTCATGACTTCAGAATGGCTCAAATGGGAGGGGTCTTCACGACTCTATAATCGAGGGGGGCAAAGGATAGTTAGCAGTAGCAGTTTCGTCATCAGTGTTCGAAGCGGCATTGATGACAGCATCAAGAATAGCGGTGGAGACCAAGACAGAAGCAACTAAATATTCAGAATTGTGACCTGTACCACCAGAGGTGAACATATGATGGCTCATCGTCGTGTAGACGTTCAAGTTATGAAAACCGAAAGAGGGGCCTGCCCATGGCTAAATGTTAGACTTTCATGTTAAACTAGTGGATGTTCTCTCATCATATTTCAGTATGGTTGTTACAAGACAAATGGATATCCTGCCAATCACGTATTTGTATTACGCTATGAATGTAGGTGTATTCAGCTTGACAGTCATTTATCCGACACCACAAAGGCTTGGTGGAGACATATTCAACGAATTGGAAGAGCTTTAAGCTACGTAAATTTTCGATGTCCTTTTTGTGATAAAAAAGAAATCAGTGAACAAGTGGTTTTACCGCTCTACATGTCATGTAACTGTGTTTCACTGATGCACAAAGGCTCGAGATTTGCCAGCAAATGATCAGAACATATAAAATGAGCAAAAGTGTTCTGGAAAATTGGATTCTAGATCACTTAGAACGCCATCTTTTATAAGTGAGAAGCGCATCTGAATAAATTATAATGATAACGAGCTTTCTGCCAAAAGTTCAAAAGGCGCTCAGAATCTAAAGCTGGGGGAAGACTAGTTAAGTATGTCGCTTCAACGCCAAACAAGAAATATTTGACTGATCAAAGAAAAATCAAGGTCAAGGCCCAGATGCTTTTAACCGCCTTAGTGTAGCTATGGGCAACATCAAGTTCTCCGGTAGGTAGTCACAACACTTCCAGCAGCGAAATAATCTGCGCATCGTCAGGATTTACGGCAAAAGTGGTTCAGATAATGAGGAAACCATGGATGCAGCATTACTAGACTTCGGGCTATAATTTCTCGCTGAAGCTTAATACGCCTTTAACATGGAAGAATCCGTTGTGTGAGATTAAGGACATCGTAATCATAGACTGATGTTCTAAGATAATGAAAGTGATTTAGGCCTAATACAACATGATATATAGTAGAAACAAATGCGCAGAAAGTAATTGAGTGTCTTACGAGATGCAAGGTTAGAGCTGATTTAATTCCTATATATTTTATTTTTACTAGATTTTTCAGGTCAATAAAACTTTGCTTTTCTTTTATTTGGAAATAGATCTCTATTGCCAATCGGCCGATGCAAATGTTACTACAGAATTCCATCGGTATGGGTACCACCACTTAAAAGCACTCCGGATTATTGTATTCACTTAGCACCCTCAGACACTTATTTCCCTTGCAATGGTGTATTTTTACGAAGGAATTTAATTTTCCTTTGCTCAAGATTATTCTCGTATCATTGCTTTGTCCCCCAAAAACTCATAATTTTAGATGGCTATGATCTTTGAGTTAAGTTGGGGGAGCGAGCTGTGAAGCCGCTTTGCGCATATCTTGCTCAAACGATAGCGTCTAACTCGCATTAGCTATGGACTTGTGAGCACCCACGTGGGTGGCCGTATCATCGTGACCTGGAGTGTACCTATGAGAAGGAGACAAAGCTTGATCGCACTTAGTAAGTGCAAGGTACACCCACCGCTTTTTCTCAGACAGACAGAGGCCCACACACGTTTACTAGCACACAATTAGGTACGATTTAAAAGCTCGGCATTCAAACTCGCGCACTGTCAATAATAGCTTTACCCTTCGGCCTCGTAATAATCGTTATTCGTGCGAGTGACTAACTTGATTAAGCAAGCAACATTGTTGCGATTGGGGGAGAAGTACTTGAAAAACAGAATCTGCTCGAATCAAAGATGACTCCAACCTGCCTTTGTGGCTTAGTCTTACCTGATTGCATAGCACAAAACAGCAAGTCTGTTCTATCCGGTGCAGCCTGGGTGCCCTCATCGCCTCCTCGTCCTAAAAACATAATGTCACAAAAGCACTTCGATCTCTTTGCACGGTTGTTTTCAATGGCGTTTGCTGACCCAGTGTAGTCCAACCCTTGCGTTACTTGACCTCTTCAACAAGTTTCTTGCGGGAGAAGACGCGCTTGATGAAGGGCAGTGTAGCCAGCGTAATCGGAAAACGGACGACCTCGAGACACTCGTTCACTATCACCGCGATGGCAATGTTACCATACGTTGGATCGAGCCTTGCCGGGTCAATGAACTTGTCCAAACCCATCTGCATGATAAAGTCGACAATGCTGGCACCTGAAATGAGACCAGTGTCCAAGGCCACGTAAATGAACACACCCGACGCAAGGTAGAGCGAAGTCCACCACACGAAGAAGGGCAGACCGTACTGTTGCAGCGTCCCCAAGAACTTGTTGGGTTTCTTGGCTGCCTCGGTCTTCAGTGTCTCGACCTCCTTTTTCAACGCCGCATTTTCCTCCAGGAGTTCCTGAATTTGCTGTTTCTTGCTCTTCCCGCTACCCAGTAGCTCCTCATCTCGACTTGGAATTGATGCAAACGAATGCGCCTGCAAACTCTTGGCAAAGACGCCTGACGCACTCCAGTAGGAGCTGTGGGCGGGTGTGACCAGAGACACAACGCGAGAAGAAGATGGACGCACCATGTACTTCTTCAGGATCGCATAGCGACCGCGTAGCGCACGAGAGGAGGCAGCGCTGCAGAATAGCGAGCGGACGGCGGCGGGACTTTGTAGCATGATTGAACAGTTCGTTTTGTGCAGGAAAAAAGGTTAAATGGACTGGTCGCAATTGGGTCATTGTACCGGTGATTTGTTTTGACCAATTAAAAAGCGATTTGCTTATTATAGTCTGTGATACCGTATCTAATTATGATGATTCCAGCCTAATTTTGAGATACCCACCCTACTTTGGATGTTTTACCGTATTTGCTGTAATGGTGATTGCTGGAAGGGTGGCGAGCTACGAAGGGCAAGGTTATGGACGAGACAGCCAGAAATTGACTGGACACACTCGATAATGTCCTATATATTGTGGTTCTGTTGATATGGTAGTATTTTGTAGAGAACACAGCACATGTTCAAGGCGTGCATATGCAAGCCCATTCACATTTATGTGTGTCGTTTCGCATTTTATTCAGAAATAGTATGTGAGAGCCTACCGGCATCAAAGAAAAAAGTCGTCTGAAGATGCATGTTATTTGGCATAGCTCAACCTTAGTTGCCTTGAATGGCACACGCGATCCATTACCAAAAGAAACCGGCTACTCTTCGTTTGCTCTTGTCAATGTCGTTTCTACGTTGATGGCGGTGGTCTTGTGCATGTCATTCCCAGCCAACTAGAAACAATCGACGCTAAGCCTTTTAACCACCAATTTTGCAAGACATTGCTTCTACCGGACATCAGGCGCTTCGATCGATACTTTAACTGTACAAACTACCTTTACTCTTGTAATTCCTCTATCCTGGTCATTGCCTGAGCAGGCAAGCGCCCACAAGGTCTAGCGGGCCGCTAGTTTGTAAAAGGTTTTATCAGCAAAATCGTTAGCAAGTAAATACAGCTCAACGCCCGAATTAGATCTCGGTTTAAATCCTCTGAATGCCCAGTAATAATGGCACAAAATTCCCTGAAATAGTCGATTCAGTCCACACCAATTGAGCAAATCTGACCATGCGACGCTGGGCGGTAGCACTCACTGGCCTCGCAGTCGGCGGCCTCGGTCTTGTAGCAGACGGCAGCACTGCAACACTTGGGCTGTGGCCGCAGCACACGGATTCTAGATTGTCGCTGTCATTTGATTCCAGTATGTATTTTACTGCCGTTTGTATAGGTCCTTTACTGTTATAGCGATCAGTGAGTGGGACACGCACTGACACCTTTTGAGCTCCCCTAGATGACTCTTTAATCGCTACAGCCACACATGGAGGATTCCTTGTCACTTATAATACGAAAGTCGATGTCCAGTCAGAGGTGCGGTGCATGTGTCGCCCTGGCCATGACGGGATCTTGCGTGATTGGGTTGAGTCGCGTCTGTCTGACTGTGTCTGTGTATGAAGATCCATTTGGATCCTCTTCTTGAATCAATCGAGGTACGGGGTCTGTAGTAATTCCACGTGGATATTATGTGACAAGCTGTAGAATGATGACTTTCTGGCTGCTCTAGATGAAATGGATTCCAGCGGCTGGCGTCCAGAGTTCGACATTTGATCGCTTCTGGGTCAATTCGCTACGACTTGACGGAATGAGTGTAGTGGGCATACACTTGCAAGCTAAGCTGAGATCCGGTACCAGTTGGAGCGCTATTACTAACGAGCATTACGAAAGAGTTGAGGAAAATATCCGCGGAATTTTACACGCCACATTTTCCTCGATCGAGCTTCTTCCTGTTTTGTCGAAAGGTGCGGCAGTATTGCTTGCAAAATATTGTATGTTCACTGTAGAAACCACGGCTGAATTGGCGCTTGCTGTAGGATTTTTGGCAAAGTCGCTGTGCAATTTCCGCTCCTGGAGAACGAAAAATCTGCTCCAGGAGCTTCTGCAAGAGTCTGTGACCGATGCACCAACTCTTTGCTTCTCTTCATCGTTTCCGTTGTCTCTCCACAACAAAAACTCAGCATATCCTGACAAAGTCATACGTGAGGCCAACAATAGCCTCGGTAGCTCACGGACGCCTGTTGAACGTGTATTGCTTACCATACAAAAGATAAAGCAAGACATTAACGCGGATCAATGCCCGTCCCGATCGATTGCGATAAAGTTCGGCCGCAGCACAGCTTCCTCACAGATGATCGAGGCAGAGATTTTGGATGTTTGGGTATCGCAATCGTCCGAAGCTAAGGTACCTTGGAAGACCTTTACTCCAATACGCAAGACTGAAAATGGTATCTTTGTAGCGACGTCCGTCAACCGTGAAATGGGTATCGACAGCCTCGAGTGCACTTGGGTCGGTACGAGTGGCAAGCTTGGCACGCCTAGTACTGCTCTATCTGTGGTGGAAATGCAAATGCCAAAAATGGCAGTGGCTGCCTCGCTGCAGACTACTATTGAAGGAACTGGTTTTCACCGTCGGTATGTGACGCATGTGGAACTCCTTGACCAAAACACATGCGGTACTGGCAGCTCCAACAAAACGATCCTCATGCGCGTGCCGATTTCAAGCACCACATATGTCGACTTGGATGAAATACGGGTACGCACAAATTTGCAGCAACGTCAATCATGCTTTTAAGTCTCATTGCGTGTCTTCACTATTTGCTTTGCAGAGAATGGAACGCTCTGGTGACCTCAAGCTTTTGTCCTTTGCGAAGCATATCGACATTGAGCGGCCATCACCGATTTCGTCGCAACATGTTGTTGGTCTTATATTTGCAATGTTCGTCCAGATCGCTCTTTGGTTTGCTTTGACTGATGAGTAGCCGCTGTGGTTCACGAACTCCGTTCTTTTGGTTGATGCTTTGACGCAGGCCATCAACTGGCCAAGTGCACATCGAGTTCCCACTTCACTTTCGGTATCAAGCTCCATCCGAAAACAAATTGTACCGTCAAGCGTCGGTCATTGCTCCTGACGTATTCATGTTTTGCCCCAAAGAAGGCCATTCAGTCAAAAGACAGCTGAAGTTGTCGGACAACGATGCCACGCACAGCTACCTTCATGTAAGTTTAAGATGTATCATACAGTGAATGTTATTGCTATTCACGGACTTCTCTGTGTGATCGACAGACGTGGGGGTTAATGGGACAACCTGATCCAGCAATCGCCAACCACCACTGGCTGCATTTGTCAACAAGTTCTCCACTTCCAATTACGCAAGTGTCCATCCCTGTCGGCTACCTGCCGTCCGATCGGCTTGTGAGCTCCATTACTCTGTTGTTCGCGAGTATCGGTGCAGCGCTCCTCTGCTATGTTTCAATTGGCGCAAGTGCGCGAGCTCCGGACCACTTTGCGAGCAGCTGGAAGGGTAAAACCGACTGAGCTGACGTGTTCAAGTAGGCGTGTCACGACAGCACGAAGTAGTGTCTTCTGCGCAAAAAACGCATGTTTTGCTTACATCAATATGTCCGTATGTATACCTGTCGCGCTGTGCTTGCCTTGATAAATGAAATAAGTGGCCGTGCTTCACCACATGACGCTGCTTAGCAGTTGTAATTTTCCTCAGTGAGCAGGCGTAGCGTGAGTGTCGCATGATCGAGCACAGTGACAGTGTATCGGTTCATACGTCGAGTCTGCAAGTCTCGCGTAATTGGCGTCGGTGGAAAAGATCCCGGAGTGACTGCACCCATGTATTCCTCCATCGCTCGGCCTTTGTCCTCGCACCCACCGAAGGTGACTGTGGCCCGAAAGAGATTGGCAGCTACAGTTGAGTGCATCATCTTCGCCATGCGACGCGACATTTCCGACGGCATATGCGAGTCCTGCTCCATGTACTCGACGGCCCATCCCGGTTCCAGCATCTCGTCGGCTTTCCACCGATCAACGTCACCATTACGGCTGTCAGCCTCATAGACCGCATCACGATGCAGACGGCGCACGTGTCGATGGCTTGACTCCAGACGGTCCACAGGCGACGTACATGGCGTTTGCGTCTGCCCCTTGTCGGCCGTATCTGTTGCAAAGAAGCGCTGGATTCCAACGAAAACGCGCTGGTAGACCCGTTTGAAGATATGTTGTCCATGGTCCTGGTCACAGTGGTGGTCGTTATCGTTGTCATTGTTCCGGCCGTGGCCCCTTTTTCTCCGGTCGGAAGCCTCGTCGAGCTCATTGGCCACGAGCGACGTCCAGAATTCCGTGAACTGATCGTCCGAGAGCGAAATGACCGAGTCCGCGACGCGGTCGAGCGAGTCCACGGCCGCAACGGGCAGCTGCGTTTGGAGGACCATGTACCACTGGACAACAGACGAGGCGCAGTACTTGGCACAGCTCCGGTCCACTTGGTAGAGCACGAAGGCCAAGGTGCGCAGCAGCGACTTCTCGACCGCCAAGACGACGGACATGGCGCCACTGGGGGCAGCACTGGCAGCACTGGCTGGAGAGGAAGTCGATGATAGTGATGGGGCGGCGCTTAAGCGTCGGGAAACGTCAGTGGTGTCGGACATGGAGAGGAGCCGGGGAAGCGCTGGGAGTGGGCAGAGAGGACGCGCGACTTGGTTGGGGCTTTGGAGCTCTTGAAGCTCAGTCTGGAAGTGGCGATAGCCGGTCGGACGGTCGGTCGGTCGGTCGGTCCTCGGGCGCCCTTCGGACAACACGTATCTTCGCTGACCTTATATTTCGTTTTTAGTGATTGTCGTGATTACGGGGGAACGCAATGACGGTCTTGGACTCATTGTGGTTTCGGTCGGCGGACGGCATCTTTTTACATCGTGACTAATTGGGTCATGTTACAGCGTCACATTTTTAATTTGCTGAGCGGAAAGTCAGTTTTAGCCACCGGATTCCTTTTTTTGGCGAATGGACCAACTGATCAGACCCTTTGTGTTTATGAATGGGACCTGTACGCATAGACAGCATTGACCAGCCGCTCTACTTACTTACACTAGGTACTCAATTGCTACATCCAATATCTCGGCACAAAGAGGAAGGTTAAACGTACCGGTCGCGAGTGAGTCATTGTACTGGCAATTTATCTTGGCCAATTCAAAATCACTTTCGATTATAATCTGTGATACCAGATCTAATTATGACGATACCATTCGAATTTTGAGATACCGACCCTACTTCGATTTTAATCGCTTTTGCTGTAATGGCGACGATGGAAGGCAATGAGCTACAACGCTAAGGTTTAGAGAGCACAGAGTTCGAACACACGTTGACATGACCAAAGGAAGTAGATATTTTACGCTTAGCCCTCGTTAGCGTCACACTACACTTGTTTCATGCCTACATGTGCATGCTACATTACCATCATTTCTCTTTTATGCAAAAACGTTTATAATATCGTTACCGTGAATGCATTCCTAGTTGCACTACTAAAATTTCTCTTCATAAAGTGCATCCAACACCTTTTAGTACAGCATGCTTTTCCAATGACACGGCCAACAACAAGTTGTCAGCAAAAAACGTTACCAACGATGACCACGACAACAACAACGACGCCAAACCTGTCAATGCAGCTAAATTCAAGGCAACCAAGGTTGAGCTTTGCCAAGCTTTAAATGCGCTTGATTAAGTGTGTAAGACGTGATTTACCCTTGTATACCGGTGTAATCGAAAAACGTAGCAGTCATAGGAACGTAAAACAGTGTGTCACGTGCTAATTGCGGAAGACTGACCGACACTTGTTATTTACTTCAAGATGAAGCATAGTTGTTGTGTTCTCAGTCACATCAGTGCCAATCTGCTTACCGTGGTCTCCAAAGTGATGTAGACTGTACGCAAGTACGATTGAAGTAGGAGTAGTCTCTTTCGCTTGTATGTCAAGCTAGGAGAGACGCAGATAATCAAATTTTTCTTCGATTCCGAGTGCGCGGTTGACCCAGCAATGATCTTGCACTTTAGTTGACCCGGACGCATCAACTCACTTTGGTTACCTCGAGCTGCCGAACCAACAGGAACAGAGTTTTTAACAAATAGGTATAAGGTCATGTCTTGTAGAACCATTTTCTTAATATTTAGCAAAAAAATATAAAGAAAATAATTCTACAAGACATAGCCTAGGAAATGGCTACGCGAAGATAGCTCCATCTACTCAGTGCACTCTATCAGCGCGCCCGTATCAGCTTGACTGAGATTATTCACGGAAATTGCATCGTCGTGACATCTTTATACGATCATTTCAACGTCGCGAGCAGCCAAGTCCTATATCCATGTTGACGTCAGATATGCGTGTTCTTCGATAGACAAATGCTATAAATTGACTTGCTGCTTGACATTAATGCAGATAAATTTAATTAAGTTAGGACAAAACATTGGTTAAAGATTAGGACTTAATTATTTTTAATACAGTCTTATTTTCTACCTCTATCAGACAAGTGTTTATTAGCTAGACTTCCTCTTCACATAGTGCGTAAGTGAAGTGATGCGCGGCACTTCTGACACTGTGTCAGTGTATTCTAAATTTTACTGTGTCAGTACAAGTAACCGGTGTCCCGTTACATCTAATATTTGCTCTATCCAATGTCCGATCATTGTGCGAGTTTTTGTCAGTATGATGGTAGGGCGTTTTCGTACGTCTAAACCTAGAGCCGCACGAAAGGTCTCTCGATCCTTTAGCCGTGTTGAAAATCTCTGAGCGACGTGCTGTCTGCAATATGTGCTCGGTACATAATTTACGTAAGCATCTTGGCGCACAATTTCTTGTTACACACCGCTGTGCGTTTCCCACTGTCTAACTGCTTGTTAGACATACATAGAGTTCGTGCAAGCCACAAATCATCGTCGCTGTATGATGATCCATTTAGCTACCTTAACACCAACGCCTTCTGCAAATACTCTACTCGGAGTTTAATGGTACATCTGTCTTTATGTGCGCCAAGTCGCGCGCGATTGAGGCAAGACCGTCATCCGACCCCGCATCACGCGAGCATCACGTCCTGCTTTTGAAGAACCAATATTATTTCATTCGCCAAGCCAAAGCCGAAGAAGGCGTTCCAAAAAATCCATAGCGTAAGTAGGTGGCTCCTTCGCTCGTACCATTATCCCCACGAGTTTTTCTTTCAGTAAATTTCCGTAGTAGAAACTTAAATGCGTCCACCTTGGCGTCAGCATTTGGCCCGTTATACAAGGCAACGTATTAGACAAATGTATCCATGTTCTCGCACGTAAATTACATATTTTAAAAACGTAAATTTCGAGCGAGTTAAAAACAGCAGCGAAGGACAGCTCACTGCCCTGTCACAAATTATACATCACACTCTGCAATTTTTCTGCTTGAACCCCACCAATGTGGATGTTCTTCACATTAGACAAAGCGATTGCCTATAACGGGGTATCCCGCTACATGATATTGACACTAAACGGTGTTAATAGGGAGATTGTCTCGTGTGACAATTCCCTGCCAATATTATTCGAGATGGATCATAGTGAAGGAATATTATCCACTTAAAATAATATTTATGCGCTGGTCAAAGATTGGTTGAAAAAGACATATCAACCAAGATTACCACCAATCGCTGCTAGACGCGCTTAATGAGTGGTGAGCAGGCTGTCGTCATACGACAACGTAGTTTAATATAGCTAGGTAAAGACTGAAGTTATAATAATAGCTAAGCCATACTGCATAATAATCTATTTTTAACTTTTATTCAACGAGCTGTTTAAGTAGATTAGCTTCCTCTGCACGTACTAGTGTACGTTAAGTTTCGCGGCATCCCAAACAAAAGGTGAGAGTTACAGTGCCAGTCCAGCTTCGCCATGAGAAACTTCCGACTAATAACTTAGTAGCGTATAAACTCTCATATCAACATTCATAAACTATTTGACAAACTTCTTCATAATTTGCAAAGACTCAGGGTACGAATCTTTAATAATTCCTTTGCCGGTTAAGTGCACAACATTACTTTCCATCGTTGGACCAATTGTATCAGGCGCTTGCATCAATTTTAGCTACTCGGTCGCCTGAACTTCTCCAAAGGCTCAAAATTCAATTCGTTACATCAAGGAATACATCCCTCCACTGCAAATATTCTTTGCAACCTCATCACGCCGCTTGTGATGTTTTTTAGCATCCCGACAAGGCTCTTGAAAACATCAGTATCCGATGCCACTAATTCATCCCAGCGACTATTGTTGAGCTCATACCCATGGTTACCACCACCGCGTATCTTAGTTAGGGTCTCGTTTTAATCCACGGTTCGATCGCATGAAGGGGTTGTCTCACTCGTTTGGAGAGCTCTATGTTCATTGTCCGTGATATTGCTCGGGCTTGAAGTGTGAACATTAGAGACACGGCCGCGTTCTTTAGCATGAAGCCAAACAGCAAGCGTGAGGTTTACTTCCGCCACGTGCGAAGCGAAGACACCCGTGAAACTCAAGAGATATTCAATTTTGCAGTAGCAGCCAGGATTTGAATCAAGTAGAGGTGGGTAGCCGGAGTCGACTTGGTTTAAAATAGGCTTAAGGGAAAAATTGTAGTCACCAAAGCACACAGAAATCCAGCCAGTCGATTTTTGGGATACTAAAAGTGGCTCACATAATCACAAAAATGTTAAAAATGTTCCAGATATTTAATCGATATTAAATTGCCCCAGTGTACCCAAGTTGATGTTGCACACATATACCGACACCGGAGTTCGATGAAGGACTAAATTTATGACAATCACCATTCGCACGCAAAGATTAGGCTGATGCGTATGACTAACTAAACCATATGAGTTTGATGAAGGCCACGTGGATATTCACCGCGACAGAGTGAACTTGTGCTATACATGCATATCAACGCTACGTTAAGTCAATTCATATTTGCAAAGGCATAAATTGTTACTAATTTTCAAAAGGGTCAGAGTCAGAAACACTCATCCATTGGGTGCTGCGAACATCAAACTAGCAAGATCGAGCGGTCTAAATAACGATGGATGCGCGCAATGAGTAGTGAACGAGACTTAAGCATACGTTTTGTAGATACATATAATCAAGTTGAGACTAAAACGTAGGTTAAAGATCAGGACTTGATCATATTTAATAAAAGTTTACATTTACCCGCGATAAGTCAGTTCCTAGCTCTTTTCCCTTCCTCTGCGTAGTTTACAGAGGTAGCGACGCATCACTCACACTGCTGTCGGTGAGAGTAGCTACACACTGGCTTTCCAGTGTGTTGCTGCGGTACCCCGTTACGTGATACATCTGACTTACTAAATCATACAATTTTGACAAAGGACACGCGGATATTCACCGTGACAGAGTGAACTTGTGCTATACATGCATATCAACGCTACATTAAGTCAATTCATATTTACAAAGGCAGGAGGCTGCAAGCTAGCTGCCGTGGAGAAAACTTGGGTAGAATCCAGCAATGGTGTAGACCCTCAAACATTCAGAAGCGCCATTAATTACTACCCCTTTACTTTATAAGAGTACATTCAAGAGTTCTGCTGCACATAGTTATCAAGAAGCACATGTTGTGCACCAAATTAAACTGCTAGAGGGCCACACGCCAAGGGCT